TCGGTTACGACACTATGGGAACGCCTCTAGGCGTAGCAAGTCTGAACGTGAATGAAATCACTCCAATCCTATTGGTTTGTTGCTAGAACGGTAAGGTGTGACGGAATAACCGGAGGAGTATAAAGCACACCTGTACACACTCATCATTAGCTTTTTTCTATTCAGCAGGCGCTCTGTATGTTGTTTGAAGAAAGCTCCAGTCCTACAAGCAGTGAATGTCTTACCTAAAGAAGAAGTCTACCAGCATGTTCGGCAACCAGAAATACAGAAGGTGTGTTTTTCCTTGCCCTCGGTACATCACGGATGGAGATTCTCATGAGATGTGTGTCTCATGTTTGGGGATGGAGCACGCCCGGGCAGCTCTCGAGGGGGCTGCGGCCATTGCGAAGCCCTTTCCGTGCGGGTACTGAGGTCCCACATGGCTCTCTTTTCCAAGGATGGCCGGATGTGTTCTCCCCGTGGCGCGGGTCCCGCGACCGCTGAGGCGGCCCGGCGGCTTCACTCATGGGGTTCACAGCGTCGGAGGATTTTGGGACGGCTGAGGCTTTTTCCCGACCTTCATCCGCTGGCTCCGATGCTTCCTTTCCTCGTTCGGGAGCCCGTTTCTCGGCTTCTCCCGCTCGCGGTTTGGATCCGGAGACACTGCAGCAATCCGACTCCGAGGAGGTGGACATGCTCAGCGTAGTGGATGATGACTTCCTGGTGTCAGGGCAGCGTCATATGACGAGCTGCTGGAGGTGGTGACTAGAGCCGTGGCTAAGCTCAATATCGACTGGCCACAGGAGGAGCAGACACCACAGGCTTGTGGTAAGCTTGATGAAAGGTTTCTTAAGCACCACGCGCCACCTCCACGCCGGTCTCTGCCATTCTTTCCTGATTTACATGATGAACTGAGTAAATCATGGGGCAGACCCTTCTCTACACGGCTTTCCACACCCTGATCATTGGACTACAGTAATGTGATGGTGGTTATCGGAGGATGCCTCGGGTGGAGGATGCACTTGCGAGCTATCTCTCCCCTCGACTTGCGTCCTCCCTGGAGAAGCCGGCGTTACCATCCAAACCATGTCGCACCACATCCACGCTCGTGGGGAAGGCGTACATGGCAGCGGGCCAGGCAGGTGCGAGCTTGCACACCATGGCGGTGCTTCAAGCCTACCAAGCCGACCTGCTACAGGAGATGGTTCAGAGGGGGGGTCCCTCTGAGGAAGATCTGGCGGAACTTCGCAGAACCACGGACCTGTCTCTCCGGGCCACCAAGGAAACGGCCCGCTCCATTGGCCGGTCCATGTCGGTTCTGGTGGCCACAGAGCGTCACCTATGGCTCAACCTCGGTTGACTAGTGTGGCAGAGTGTCGCTTCTCAGGGGCCCCCCCGAGGAGCTGGGGCAGCGAGGCGGCGCTCTCAACCTCAGCCTTCTGAGAGACGCGATCTGAGGACCGTCATCCAGTCCCGACAGAGCTCAGGGAAGAGGTCCTGAAGGCCGGGGTAGGGGAGTCTTTTCTCCCCCTATTTGGGATCTGCGGGTTTTAAACCGCTCTCTGAGGAGATTCAGGTTCAAGATGCTCACCATCCCCGCCATCGTGACGCACATCCAATCTGAGGATTGGTTCGTCACGATAGATCTAAAGGACGCCTATTTCCACGTCTCCATCCATCCTTCTCACAGGAAGTTCCTGAGGTTCGCCTTCGGGGGTGTGGCTTACCAGTATTGGGTTCTTCCATTCGGCCTGGCACTTTCCCCTCGCACATTCACCAAGTGTATGGATGCAGCACTGGCCCCACTGAGGCTCCAGGGCATCCGGATTTTCAACTAAATCGACGACTGGCTCATCCTAGCCCAGTCTTGAGAGTTGGCGGTTCGGCATCGAGATGTCGTTCTGGCTCATCTGCTGCGTTTAGGGCTGAGGCTCAACGCAAAGAAGAGTGTGCTGGCGCCCACCCAACGGACTACGTTCTTAGGGTTAGTATGGGATTCGACAACGATGCGGGCACAATTGTCTCCGGCACATGTCGACACCATATTGGCTGCCGTGAAAGGGGTGAAGTTAGGCCACGCCATCACTATAAAACACTTTCAACGAGTGTTGGGTCTCCTGGCGGCTGTGTCCAGCGTAATACCATCTGGACTGCTGCACATGAGACCCCTGAAGTGGTGGCTAAGGACCAAGGGTTTTTCCCTGAGGGGAAATCCTCTCCATCTGATTTGGGTTACGCGCAAGTGTCTTCGTTCCCTATCAGTTTGGAAGGAAACTTGGTTCCTGTCCCAGGGGCCTGTGCTGGGAGGGTCTTGTCGCCGGCTGGTCATTTCGACAGACGCCTCCCTCATGGGCTGGGGCGCGGTCATGGGCGGCTGCTTTGCAAGGGGATCCTGGCAGGTGCATCAGTCCGAGTGGCATATCAACTGTCTTGAGATGTTGGCGGTGTTCCAGGCTCTAAGGAGTTTCCTGCCCGATCTCCAAGGCCACCACGTCCTGGTTCGTTCCGACAACACAGCAGTGGTGGCCTATCTGAATCACCAGGACGGTCTGCGCTTGCGCCCTCTGTACAGACTGGCGCGTCAGATCCTCCTGTGGTCCCAGCAGAGGTTACTATCGCTCAGGGCGATGTATCTCCCAGGGACGCAGAATCAAGGAGCAGACCTGCTGTCGAGGCAGGGGCTGAGGCCCGGGGAATGGAGACTTCACCCCGAAGTGGTGGAGCTCTTGTGCGAAGAGTTCGGCCCCATAGACGTGGATCTGTTTGCGTCTCAAGAGACTACGCACTGCCCGCTATGGTTTTCTCTCGTTCCTCCAGCCCTGTTGGGTCTGGACGCCATGGTACATTCGTGGACGAGGCTGCGAGACCTGCTGTCCCAGGCGCAGGGCCGGGTTCTTCACCCTTGCCCGCCGTATGGCGACTGTGGGTCTGGCCCCTGAGGGGGCAGCCGGAGCAGTCAAGACCCTCCTCAGCTCCAGGGCCCCGTCCACACGGAGGATGTACGGCCTGAAGTGGAGTGTTTTCTCCACTTGGTGTAGGGAGCGGTCGGTGGACCCTGTTACCTGCCCGGTGATTCAGGTACTTGAGTTCCTCTAGGACCGGTTCTCTGCTGGTCTTTCCCCTTCCACCCTCAAGGTGTACGTGGCAGCTATTTCATCTTTCCACACCCCTCTGAGGGAGGGGTCTTTGGGGAAACTTCCCTTGGTTGTACGTTTCCTCCGTGGTGCCCAGAGGATGAGACCTGCGACTCGGTCCAAGGTTCCCACTTGGGATCTGGCGGTGGTTCTTGGGGCGTTGGCTGAGGCCCCCTTCGAACCCCTGGAGTCAGCTGAGGCTAAGCACTTGACCCTCAAGATGGCCTTTCTCCTTGCTATCACCTCTCTGAGGAGGGTGGGGGATCTCCAAGCGCTTTCGGTTTCCCCGCAAAGCCTGGAGTTTGCCCCGGGGAATATTAGGGCTATCCTGCACCCTCGTCCAGGATACATCCCTAAAGTGCCTTCTTGTGCGGCAGGGCTGACCAGCTACTAGTGTGTTTTGGGTCCCCCAGGGCTGGGCTCCCTGCATCCAAACATACTATTAGCAACTGGATTGTTCAGACTATTTCCCTGGCCTATCAGGTGCGCGGTTTGCCTTCACCTGTGGCTGTGAGGGCTCATTCTACCAGAGGCATGGCGGCCTCTCGAGCCCTCCTTTCCGGGGCCTCTTTGCAAGATGTTTGTTTAGCGGCTGGCTGGGCCACTCCGCACACATTCATTCGGTTTTACAGTCTTGACCTTCCTTCGGCACCTGGCACTTGTGCGCTCTCCTCTTAGTCGTGCCACTTTATTGCACACTGGGACAGGCGGGGTTTTTCGGCACGGTTTAGTGGGTATCTCGTTCCCATAGTGTTGTAACCGACGCAGTTCGAGTTCCCTCGAAGGGGAACGTCTTGGGTTACGTATGTAACCCTGGTTCCCCTCGAAGGGGAACGAGACACTGCGTCGGCCCGCCGCACCTCTCTCCCCGCCTGAAGCGCCTGCTTCATAGTTTAAGCTAATGATGAGTGTGTACAGGTGTGCTTTATACTCCTCCGGTTATTCCGTCACACCTTACCGTTCTAGCAACAAACCAATAGGATTGGAGTGATTTCATTCACTTTCAGACCTGCTACGCCTAGAGGCGTTCCCATACTGTCGTAACCGACGTAGTGTCTCGTTCCCCTTCTCGGGGAACCAGGGTTACATACGTAACCCGAGACGTTAGTGAAGATAACGAAACAGAGACTCTTGGAGTGGAAAGAGGGGTTACACAACGCCCACGGAGCTGCCGAACCGGTCCAAACCGGTGTGTTAACAGAGTATTCCGGCTGTTTTTTTTTGTGAGACTGTACTGTAGACTTGAACTGAGCGGACTGAGCCCCCATCATTCCATTGTTCCTGGGACTCCACTGTGACCATCATCTGCCCATCTGGATTTTTGCCACCATCACTGTCGTCACCTTCAGTGCATCCCTTTTTGTCGCCCCTCTCTTGGGAGCCTGGACGGACTGGACTTCTTAACTAAGGGTGGACTAAGTGCATCTAAGTTGGTGTGTGTTTCATTAAGCGGGGAGTTAAATGGTGTAATTGGGTGCTTTGCCGTTTCCTCGTGTAATTAGCCTCCTCATAGAACCTAGATATCTTCTGATATATCTGCAAGCTTAGGGGATATTAGCCACCCCGCAGGTTACATTTACATGTATTTTTTTTTTACAGTAACAGAGCAGTTAGTCCTGTGATGACGAGACAAGGGCAGGAGGAAACAGAGAGACGGGTAAAAAAGAGTTTGTAGGATTTTATATTATATATTCATAGACTATAACATTTTTTGTTTGATTTTTCAGTTATGTGTTGGTTTGGAGTTATTTCGGATTAGGGAGGTTTTATTGCCGCGTCAGCAACCTTCTTTTTTTATTTTATGCGTCTGGCTGCTGGAAAAGATACAATTTGGGACATAAAAAAAGAACAAATAAAAAAAGCAGATGATTGGTAAAAGCAGCTCACTTGGTATCTGTTCTCATCGGTTGAAGGTGAGCCGAGGTATCTCTCCGAGAACGCAGACGCTGGAAGAAAAGAAGTTACAAAGTGAAATAAGAAAGATGAGGAGTTTTATGGAAGAGCTACAGTCAACAATCTGCTCACAGCTTTACAACTTCAATAAAACAGAAGGGTTTCTTCTTTCTGTTCAAGAGATTTGACATGTTTCACAGTAACATAAGAGAAAGCACTGTGTGTTTTGAGCATGTGAAATCCTTACTCCGCTCTGCTTGCACTTGTTAGAAACCAGAGGATTTACAGAAACACTTCGGTATATTAAACTATAGTCACATACAGCAGTATCTCCTCAGCTGTACTGTAGCTCTAATACCTGCTCGACGCTCCCAGAAATGAGGGATGGTTTTTTATCCTAAAAATTCAATAAGCCTGAATTCCTGAAAGCAGACCCTACCGATAATTAAAGTTACATTACCAAGACAATACACCACCTAGGATAAAGACATTAAGGAAACGAGACGAGAATAAGCACTGCAGCAGAAGTAATAAATACTTGCTTTCCCTGCAGGCTGTATTAAAGAAGAGATTTTACTCTCTGCTCACCGTACATGGACCAATCAATGACAGGAGCCTGAGCTGCCGCACATCTGATCAGCTTCTCTGTCGACTTCAGCATTGTCAGTGTGAGGAAGCCACCGTAGTCCTGTTAACAAAGTAGTTTCACTTGTTTAGTATCATATAAAAATGTGATTTAGAGGACAGAAAAGCAACACAAACCCCCCCCCCACATTTCCACTACACAGTTATGTTAGTCTTTACTCAACTATTTTACCTATTCAGGCCTCGACAAAACGATTCAGGTAAAACAACGAAAAGAAATCACTCTTCGGTCAACATGTGACGAGGGGTTGCAAGTAAATATTCCTTTGTTTTAAGGCATCACCAGACAAAAAGTTGCGAAAAGAAATGAAAGAATATAATGGATCTCATGCAAATGTGTCAGAGAGTGCAGGATCCAAGTTATTGCATTTTCAGTAAGTGTAATTATTTAGTTAACTGAATATTTTTGCTTCGTATGGACCTTTGTCATCATATAAATACTTCCTAGAAAGCACTGATTTTCTTAAGATGTCCGTTTAATGTCTCCTTCACAGCTTAAAAACAACACTGAGTGTGTTTACACATTATTATCCCAGATATTATCAGTTTTTTTATCCTGTGGGTATCCTGGTTTAAGAAACCTGAATGAGCCAGTTATCCCAGTTTAGAGAAACCTCAGAATACTAAGCTGGAGTACTCTAAAAACTAGCATATTGTGGCTTGTAAACACATTATACAGATTTCTGATCACCACAGTCCTATAGGAGTGCCATTATCTCCAGTTTGTGAATCTCAGGTGTTAACATTAAATTTTGGTCACTGGAACTAAGTACCCATTTTGCCGAAAAAGAAATAATTTAACAACACTTAATGCAGTTCTGAAAGTATTTCCTCAACAACTCTTCTGACCATCTGGATGAAAAGAATAGTCTGTCAATGTGGCACAAAAAAAAAAGAGAAAATATTTTTTACCCGCTGTGTTTCCTAATTCAAACAAAGATGGAAATATTTCCAAGCTCTATTTGTCCGACATGGAAGAAAATTTAAAAAAGTTCAGTTATAAGTTGTCTGATTATATTTGTTTTGTTTTTTTAGACAGAAGAAACGGTTTTGCAAACAGGATGAAAATCAGGATGAAACTGATTATGTTTTTCCACTGTGATTTGAATGTAATGTTAATACACTGGTGACACAAACTGGGGCTAGCACACCGTGTTATGTGGGAGAAAGACTGTAACTGAATGTAACAGCCTTTTTACACAATGCAATGAAATAAAGTCAGATTTTAGCAGAGCACTGCATTATCGCCATAAAGTTCATATGTCATCATGAGCGTCCTCATGAATTATCCTGTGTGCGTTAATGAGTTGTCAGACAGTTTGAAAAAGCCTCACTGAGCATTTCAAATACAGATTTCTCACACGCTGCACATTTATTCAGCCAGCTGAGAAATCAGGGTGAAAGGTTTGATTCATTCACAGGCTGATACACGAACCTCTCCGAAGACTCCGACACGAGTGTGATCAATGAATGGCAGCTTCACCAGGTACCTGGGGAGCACAGAGGAAACGTTTCGACACAAGCAAATGACAAGTGGACTTAAGTTATATTTGTTCACTTCATATCACACTCTCAGCTCAAAGCGACTGAGAAGTTTCAATTCAAAGACTATCAAGTGACCAACTGTAAGGAGGTCAAAGGTTACAGCAGCGGTGAATCACCGACAGTAGGAAGGTAAGTTTATTGTCACAATATAACAAGTTATAGAGGGACATTGTGTTTTGTAACTCCCTTCTGCTACATAGCAGACAATATACATTAATAAAGAATCAAGTATAAAAAAATGGTAAACAGAAATAACTATAATCAGTGAAGCTGAGGATGAATTAGAGTTTAGGTTTCACAGTACTCCTGTGATCCCTCGTCTGATCATAGAAAGAAAAGAGATAAATTAAATGGGAAAACCAGGAAGAAAGGGCTGTCTCACCAACTACTGTGTTTTTATATTTAAAATATTAATTATAAGTGTGTTTTACAAGTGAATTAGTACTGCTCTGATGCAGACCCAGTAAATACAGCACAATGGTCTTTTATATTTGAAAATGTTCCCAGATAAATTACACTATATAGACACACAACGTTAATTATGTTGTGCTTTTATCCACAGGGAACCTCCAGACTTTTCTACCCTAAACCCCCGAATAAATCTATTAATTATTTTCATCTTAAACACAAACACTCTTTCCCTTAAATTACCTCCTAAAGAAATTCATTGTTAGCATTAGGGGTGTAACTAATTATTTTCAGTGACAAATATTCACCATTATTTTCTCAATCAATTAATCATTTGATTTACAAAAGATAATGAGTGAAAAAGTGAATCAGAATCCACATCGACATACCGGTATTCAAATTTCATGTTTTCTTAGACCAACAGTGCAAAAGCCCAAATGATCAGTTTAAGCACATTGAAGACTAAGGGAATGAGCAAATTCACAGTTAACAAGCTGGAACCAGAGAATATTTCATCATTTCTGCTTAAAAAAACTTTTCAGTCACATATTTAAATGTGCATTAGATAAAAGGCATAATTGTATTTTGTTTTGCTTTGGGAAAAACTGGCAAACCTACAACTAGAATTATGCCATTCTCTCTGTGTCTTAATTTTTTTTTCATCCTTTCATGGTGAGTTGCTCAAACTAAGGATGCTCCACGCTGCATTAATAAAACCCTCCTTCAAACACGCCGTCTCTGAAATTCTAATGAGCTTCACAGGTGATCACAAATCTTTCCTCACAGAAAAGCACCTGCTAAACTCTATCTTTCCAAATCCAAAAGAGATACTGACACACACACACACACACACACACACACACACACACACACACACAAAGTGACTTTCACCGAACACGAAAATTATGCCTACAGACTGGACAAAATGTGTTACATACTCCAGAGCTGCTATCTGGTCCTCTGCATCCACTGTGCCGAGTCTCTCATGGACCTGCTGTAAAACCCTGTGAAGTGACAACGATAAAGGATGAGGGTCAGAAATGAGGTCATAAGAATAGAAGGAAAATTGCTCTTGAGTGTTTAAGGCCAGTTTGTCTATGTGTGAACCATCACTTCCACATATTGAGTCAATCTGTACAGGAAGAATTAATAGCAGAAGCTAAAGACAAAACACGTTGAGTATTTATGGGAATGTTCACTACCTTTGACCTCTGAAACCTGACCCTCTGCCATCAAGTTGTGCTACGATGACCTGCTCTGATCCTGCCATCACCCACTCCCAGTCCGGCCTTAACTCTTCTGTCACCACCTGGTCGCCTGGAGAGCTGCGGCTGTCAGGACAGACCCAAAATACACAGATATTTTAAATGTTATTTTATTTATGATTCCTTGCCCCAATATGTGTTTAACGTAAACGTAACATAAACTAACCATGTTCTGTACACAATGACATTCCGTACAGATGACCTTTTCCCGCCGATTGCTGAATTAATACTTCCAGCTTATACATAAACTATATATATGTGTGTCATCATCATTTCTCCATTTTTTATCCCCGATCAAGAAAGAGAACCCCCCTGCCATTTGTTCTGTCAACACAGATGCTTTTTGCACTTCATCCTGTGTTCAGTGATGTTATAAAGGATCAATTAAGTTAATAGTAAAAAAACAAAAAACAAATGCAAACTTTGCCATTTTACATGGTCATGCTAAACCCGTGCCAAAATTAATATCTCGCATGGTCTTCTAGCTTGTTAAAGCAGTGATTAACTTATGTTACAAATTATAGTACATGAAATGTCAATTTTCGCCATTGAAATCAAGTTATGCCGTCTTTACGGAACACCATTAACCCTTATGAATATCCGTACACAGGCAGAGGATGTACTTTCCCCCACTTTTCTGAAATACTATTGGTCCAAAAGACATCAATCAAAGAAAAAAACATCCAATGGGTATTCCCCCAGGGAATGAGCACACAAAAATGCTTGTCAGGCTGTTAACAGAGTAGTGGTCAGTAGAGTGCGGTGAAGTGCGCAAAGTGTACGGAACATGGTTAGTCTAAGTTAACTGTATATAAAGTACTTAAAACAAGCTAACAGTATATAATGTAGTTAAAACTAGCAAATGGTATATAAAGTAATTAAAACTAGCTAACTGTATATAATGTAGTTAAAACTAGCTAACTGTATATAATGTAGTTAAAACTAGCAAATGGTATATAAAGTAGTTAAAACTAGCTAACTGTATATAATGTAGTTAAAACTAGCTCCACCTTGAGCAGCTACAACAGTAAAATGTTGCTTACACTGTGATGCATCAGCATTAACAATCTAAGAATGTCATATAAAATAATACATCTGTCGCATTCGATGAGTACACTTTGCTGAGAATATTTCTGTACCTTTACTAAAGTAGGTTGATAGACCTGTGTATTATTTTCTATTAACTGCACAGCTCTGGCAGGTTCCAACTTCAGGTTTCTCCATTTTGTTGAAGCAACATTTTCCCCCAAGGTTAACACATATTGTGAGACTGTGATATTTATTGATGCATACAAAAAGGATTATAGGACATTCAAATTGTTGCTAAGATAAGAAATTGGTTGCTACATTTACATTTTCTCATCTAACATTTCTTTATTTTCATTTATTACTCCTGTTGATTTGTAAAATGTATTTAACAGCATGCAGGTACAGAGGAGTGAAGCTGTCCTTACTAAGCTTGGTCTTATAAATGAAAAAAATGTAAATGTAATTACAGCGGGATAAGCTTACACAATAAGGAGGAGGCCATAGATGTAGGACTCTGAGAAGTCAGGAGGATAGATGAGCTTTAGCGGCAGCTCTGAGAGGACGAGAAATATTAGAGACGACAGAATAACTCAGTTATCTCATGATGATGCAAATCAATACACACAAACACACACAGCTGTTAAGTGCAGATCATTTGTACCAAAGTTATCATTAGTGATCATCCGAATTTCAGTCTGAATCATCCTTTTAGCCTCCAGCACAGACCGCAGGGGGAGGTTGTTCTCCAAGATGAAATACGCTGTGAAATGAGAAATTATATTTATCAGAGTTGAGTAAGAGCTGCTATTTATTTGCTCTAAATTAAACTTTTTTTGTAGACAAGAAAGACCAAGCACATACAGGAGGCATTCATTAAAAAAAGTACAGCATATTATCACATATTATCATCTTTATTACCAGGTTTGGTGGAGTTTCTGGGGTTTGGATCACTGCCACCATTGATGTGTGACTGTGTGTGTCTACCCCAAAACTCACTCGTGGTGAGAGGGCAATCAAAATCAGAGAAGGAGCGCTGCTTGCTCACTTGAACTCATGAGCGAGCACAATTCGAAACACAACCGCTTTCATACAGAGATCCCACAATCAACATGGAAAGACACAGACATAGCCGACGTGATACATAGGCGTTAGCTTGCCTGCCGCTTTTTGTATCTTTTACCTGAGGCTCAGCCATGTCAACACAGCTAAACGGATGGTAATGAAACGTTTAGTGAGCTAAACTGAATATTATAAATGAGATTGTTACCACACTTTACAGTTAGACCGCAATTAAGTAACTTTACTGTAGTGAATAGGTCTTCCTCTTTGTTGTTGTCCTGCGCAGTTTTGTTGCAGTATTGTATATTATGTGGGTCATGAAAGTTACAGCGACTGATGGTGGAGAATCTCTGTACCTAAGTATCGGTTAAACCACAATAAGTCTAAATTGCAGGCTGCTCCTGCCTTGTATAAAGGCTACTCTAAACAAATGACTCCACATTTGCTTTGTACCGTTACATTTCTTGTAGACTAAATCAACATTTTGACATAATACTGGTGGAACACAGGACATATTATAAATTGCACCGGATAATGTTAGCAACTGCTCGGCATTAGCCGGCGAGCAAACGTGACTCTCTTCGTGACTCCAGCCTTTCTGATGTTGATTTTGGCCTGTCAGGCTTCAGCACATAAATCTTTATTGTTGTTTTGCATCCTTATGTGGAGTTTGGTCCCGCCCTGCTCGTTACCTAGTGTTTAAAGCTTTACTTGTTCTGTTCAGTCTTTGTGACGTGCTCGTCTGTGTTGAGCGTTCTGTCCTGTCCCTGCGCTTTTTGGGATTACCCTTTGGATTGCACCTTGTTCTTTGTTTCTGGATTTTCCCTTTGGATTATGTTTTTGTTTGGCGTAATTTTGTTTGGAAAATTGCCGCTGTGCTCCCAGTGTAAGCCTGCTTAGTTTTCTTTAATAAATCTTAGATTGAATTGCATCCTGCTGGCTGTAGTCTGCATTTGGGTCCACACCTCTATTCTCTGCTACTGCACTCATCCGACTTGTACACCTGTAGGTGTTCCTGTTTACAATAATTTACATAACTATCAATATGTATGGGATATAATGGAAGGTGCTGTGAAAAACTTCAGTGCACCTAAATTTTGTGGCAGTGCACCTAAATGAAAAATGTAGGCGCACCAGTGCATCCAACCAGATGAAGACTAACCAGTTAGGTTGGTAAATGTACGTTTTGCTAACATCCCCACCTCTGATAAGGAGCAGCTTTTCTATGGGGTAAAGTTTCCCCTGTGATAGTCCTTGCAATGTTTAACACTTTATAGAACAAGTTGACTTCTCTCAGCTCTCTCTAGCTAATTATTACACTAATCCATAAATCACGAGTCAAAGGCGAGGCTCTGGTGATAGCAGTGATCCAAACCCTAGCAAATCTACCAAACCAGGAATAAAGATTATGAAATTTAAGTAATAAAATTAAACAGGACTAGGGAAACCATGTTACCCATGTGTGATGGTAAACAGCTTAGCCTCAGTAAATTACACATTATGAACACACGAATAGCAGTAGTGGTATAAAAATGAAATATTTAATCATAAGAATCAGCACTTTTACATTTCCATTTTGTGTACATTTTCAACTCATTTTTTCTTTTGAAATTGTTTTAGTCAAGAGAACTGACTGTTAGCTACTTTAAATAAATTGTGGGGATGCATAGCGAAGTGTGGAACAAATGAAACCTCTTTAAACGTACAAAATGCCAGTGTAGCTCGACGTGGCATCAAGTCTTGTTTTCAAACAAATAAGATGAGGATGCCTTATTACGGCAAATTATTTCCCGTTTCAGAGCAGGCGTGTGAGAAAAGGCACATCTGCCTGCCCACACAAACATAACAGAAACACAAAATGGTTTCATCTTAAGTAGAATAAAGACTACTTACAGTCCACATTATCAAAACTTAGAAGCAGCACAGCTGGAACTCCAGGACCTGCAGTGGGAGGGAGTCAAATATTCTTGTTTTTATGAACGTAACACAAGAAGTTGATAAAACACATTAGAAATTCGATATTTAAAGCAACATTTATGACTTATTTAGGGGTTTAAGAGGCATTTTTCTAAAATTTTACATACATCATTATTTACATTTATTCATTTAGCTGACATTATACCATTATACGAAGTAGAAGACTAAACTAAATGTTTCACTCATTCTTTTAAAAAGAACTTTTAAACCAAGTAGTCTCCTATCACCAAACAACACAGTCTACAGCCGTGCTAGGGGCTCTGAGGCTGTACTCATGTCACGTTCATGTCATTACAGAGTTATGGTAATTGGTAAAACGAGAATCTGGCTTGTAAATAGTTATCTCATCAACATCCAACCTGATAGATTCAACTTACTGCTTCATAATGTGGAAGTTTCTCATAATCAAGCAAATACCAAAGTACGTTGTACAACCCAAATTTAATGGATGTAGTATTATATAAACTATGTTTAGTATCAGTATTTTTAATCCTCACGCAACCATCACTGAAGCAAGGGAGAGAGCGAGAGATCAAGGGACGGGTGAGAGAGAGAGGGACGGGTGAGAGAGAGAGGGACGAGCGAGAGGATGTGCTCCGCGAATACGCGCTGCCTGCAGCTCTGCAGTCAAATACAATTTTAAATAGGCCTAGTAAAAAAAACATGTAAAGAAAAAAAGTCGTAACAGGTGACTAACGTCATTAGCCTATTTAAATTTTGGTGGATTAGAATTTGCCAAAAAAGGCAGTGCACTTCTATAAGAAATATATAATAAGATCCTTATAATAAATGTTCACTAAGATAGACTTGTGCAGTTATTATTGCACAGTGTCAAGCAGAAAACCGTATATTGGACATATTAGGAAACGATGTATTTAAAGGGAAAAGAAGAAAATAAAAAAGAGGAAAAAAAAGAAGGGGGCGGCTGTGGTTCAGGAGGTAGAGCGGGTTGCCTGTTAGTCGGTAGGTTGGCGGTTCAATCCCCAGCTCCTCCAGGCTGCATGTTGAAGTGTCCTTGGGCAAGAATCCCGAATTGCCACAACAAGGGACAACACCTATTATCAGGCAGAAATCTCACGACAAATGTAAAAATATGTTAACTTCAGCACCTCTGATAAAGTGCATTTTTATAGCCTACTGAAACTCCTGTATATGTCCGCTTTGGCACAAACTGCAACTCTCACAACTCACAGCGCGAGGTGGATCCACGTCACTCACTGGTGTGAGAAAAAATACACCGTCTCACCCTGGTGCAGTGGACTAAACTGGTAGGTTTTAATGTTGCAGAGCACAGTTTTTTTGGAAGTAGTTTAAAGTTTTAACTTGTATTGTTGTGAATCTTTGGTGTAAACTCGCCTTAGAATTTCCAACCAACAAACGCCCCCCAAAAGCAGCTCAGTCCAAAATATTGCTTCCAGCGTCCCCCCATCGTCCTCAGAACGCCCCCTGGGGGGGCGGTACCGCCCCCGTTGAGAAAAACTAGTCTACAGTAACACATATGACCAGATTATAGTCTTCCTAAAATCTTTAAAACTGGAAGAAGTTAAGGATAATATATTTAATTCTTTGACTCTCCCTGACCTTTACAGTGCAGGATGGCATGCTGTGCAACCGGGCTGACGTTTGCGTCGAAGAATGAACACTCCTCCTTCAGCCCACAGGTGAGGCATTGCCGTGGAAACAGGCCAAGGGTGGACACACTGCCAGAGGAAACACATGACATGTTTACTGGAAACAGAAAAGAGTGTAACGTGCATTACACACAACAGTGGAAAATTGCAAACATTGAGAAATAATGAACAAAAGGCTTTGTAACAACACAAATATGGTTAATTTATTGCATAGCAAAGTGTATTTTACCTGTATAAATGTCTGTGTTGTGCAGAGTCCTCTGTGCTCAGAAAGTATCTGTGTAGAGGAAAGCAGAGCAGCTAAAGTAGGCCAAGGTCACAAATCCATTATACATCTGCCTTCACTAATCACTGCACATCATGGCTGGCCAACCATAAACACAGATTTATACAGTCATGAACCCTGCGGCTCACAAAGTGTGAGACAGTAGATGTTCTAAAACATGAATTTTTTAAAAACTTATTTTCAGCATTTACAGAATAGAGTTAAATTAGTCGTAGTGGTAGAGAGAAATGTAATAAGCACAACATTTAAGTTCTTGATGAAAGCCTGGGAAATGGGAAAAATGCCTTAATCAAGATAAAAATGTGGCTTCTAACTAAAGTGTGTTTTCTTTCTTTCATCAGTTTGGAGCTGGCACATAGTTACACAATGGCAACAACAAATTACAATCTATATTAAATAATTCTTTCCAAAGTATTTTTCAGCTAAGAGTGTGTGCAGATCTTCCTCTCAGGTACAGCAACAGTGGTAAAATATAACTAAGTACATTTACTCAAGTCTTGTACTTCAGTACATATTTAAGGTACTTTACTTGTGTCTTTTCTTTTCATGACACTTGCTGCTTTTAATTTTTTTAATTATTTGAATGTATTTTTAATAATTTTGATGTTTGAGTAGTAGCATCAGCAGGAGTGGAAAGCAAATAAGTACATTTACTCAAGCACTGTTTTTCTGTTACTTTAAACTTTCACTCCACTGCATTTCAGGGGAAAATATTTTACTTTTTTACAGCTTTTCATTTATCTGACAACTGTAGTTACCATTTACTTTGCAGATTAAGATTTTACTTATAAAATATGATGAATTTGTAATATACAATGTATTGTGACAGATTAAACTACTCCGCAGCATCTACAATGCTTCAAACTAGCTCCACTTCAAACAACTATAACAGTAAAGTAATACTTAGACATAAATGATCATTAAGAATCCTTAAGTATAATCCAGTAATATGGGATATAATTGTGTATCTCTCACAGGGTTACTTTTACTTTTAATACTTTAACTACATGCTCCACACTATGTAGTTTCACTTACAAGTTTTTCTCTGTTTTCTGCACCTTCAGCATGGAATACGTTGCAAAAGGACTTGAAAGTCACTGAATTAATCTCGCTAAACTGCTCCAAAATGAAAGACTTAGAGGCAGATGCCTTAATGTGTAAATGCTCTTAGTTTGTAAAAATGATTTAAAATGACTTTATGAAATGTTAGCTTATTAGTCTTCTGTGTTATTTGTCTGTACCTATGTGGTTTTTTTTATATGCTGCTGCCTGTCTTGGCCAGGTCACCCCTGCAAAAGAGGTTCTTAATCTAAATGGGACTCTCCTGGTTAAATAAAGGTTAAATAAAATTAAAAAATAAGCAATATTTCTAACGCAGTGCAATGGAGTATTTTCACAGTGTTATATATAGTGTCGGAAGGCAAGGCAAGTTTATTTGTATAGCACATTTCAACAACAAGGTAATTCAAAGTGCTTTACATAAAACATAAAAGCAACATAGGGAAATACACATTAAAAAATAATAAAAGTTACAGTGCAGTGTACAATCAGTGTTAAAAGAGTTAAATGGAACATAAAAACAGGCTGAGGGGTTGAGCAAATAATTGAGTTACAATTATTTTGAAAAGAGAATAAACAGAGAAGTACACTTAATCTACTCTCTCTAGCTAGTCTGTACTCAGGTCCATAGCAATCTTTGGGTCCACTGAAACTCCAAAAACCCTCGGACACTACAGAGAAACCAGGACATGTCTGTCCGCAGGCTGCTTTGATCCAGTTATACTCTGGACCCACCTGCGCGTTTACAGGTGGACAGAGGTTCCTGCAAATCACTCAGGCGCGAGATTTAAGACCACTTCCTTCACTCTGTTCAATCTCACTCTCATTATCTTTTCACTCAATTACCTACTCATTTCTCACCGTGTAAATATTTAATTAAAAGCAATGGTTAAAAGCTAAAAACAAAGAAAAAGAAAACAGGAAAGTAAAAGTTACAGTGCGGTGTAAGTTATCAATCTACTAGTTAAAGGCAGTGGTAAAAAGAAAAATCTTAAATATTTAATTAAAAGCAATGGTAAAAAGAAAAGTCTTCAGTATTAATTTAAAAGAACTGACAGTTTCAGCAGACCTGCAGTTATCTGGGAGTTTGTTCCAGATATACGGAGCATAATAACTGAATGCTGCTTCTCCTTGTTTAGATTTGACTCTGGGGACAGAATGCAGACCTGCTCCAGATGACCTGAGAGGTCTGGATGGTTCATAACGAAGCAGAAGATCAGAAATGTATTTTGGCCCTAAACCATTTAGTGCTTTATAAACTAACAGCAGGATTTTTAAATCAATTCTTTGACATACAGGAAGCCATGTAAAGACCTCAGAACTGGAGTGATGTGATCCACCTTTTTGGTCTTAGTGAGGACTTGAGCAGCAGCGTTCTGAATCAGCTGCAGCTGTCTGATGGATTTCTTAGGGAGCCCTGTAAAGACACCGTTACAGTAGTCGAGTTGACTGAAGATAAATGCATGGATAAGTTTTTCCAGGTCTTGCTGAGACGTAAGTCCTTTAATCCGTGATATATTCTTCAGGTGATAGTAGGCTGACTTTGTAATTGTCTTAATGTGGCTCCTCAAATTCAGGTCTGAGTCCATGACTACACCAAGATTTCTGGCTTGATTTGTGGTTCTTAACATTACAGATTGAAGTCAAGAGCTGACTTTCAATTGTTCCTCCCTGGCTCCAAAAACAATAACTTCAGTTTTATCTTTGTTCAATTGAAGAAAATTCTGGCACATCCAGCCGTTGACCTGCTCAATACAGTTACTCAGCACCCGTATGGGATCATAGTCCCCTGGTGAAATGGTTATGTAAATCTGTGTGTCATCTGCATAATTATGGTAACATATTTATCATAATTATGAACATATTTATTTAAGTAAGTAGCTACAGTGGTGCTGGGAGCTTTAGTAAGTATGTAACAACAATCATTTTCAATTTAAAGGGGCTACATGTAGTTTTTTTAATGAAATGAATCCTTTTTATTTTGCCTGTGTGTGAAGGGGTTGTAATCTCACATAAATATGATCCACTCACTGGGTTTTTCTGTTATCTCTGATGGCTAGTATGCCTATTTCTATGTGATTTTCCATGAAATCCCTTGGCTGTTCCATGCATGTGTGCTCCCGAGACTCTTCCCTTCTGGATCTGTACCGTACACACAGCAACAACACCGCAGCTAACGAGATGGAGTCCGCTAAGACCACGAAAAGACCGGCTCCCAGTACTACACAGACTCCAAAACTAACTCCATGTAAGGATGAAAACCAACACAAAAGTTTTATGTACTGGAGCCCTTTGGGCCAAACGATAATCCGGTTGAGTTTGAGTGAAAGCACAATCAGAAAGGCTTGAGTCATGGAGAGACCTCCGCTTTCTTTTGGATATTAAAACCGACAGAGTTGACTTTCATCCTATTGGAGAGGTTAACAAAAATTACTGCAAAGCATGTGAAATATATTGTGATGTTCTGCTTTAGTTGGCTCAAGTTAGATAACGTTAGCACGCCAGCTAACACCGAGCAGTTGCTAACGTTATCCGGTGCAGTTGTTTGGCTTTCTACATGACTTCACCAGCTAACGCGACTCATTACTTTCCTGTGTACCGCCGGTGCTATGTCACAGTAAAATGTAATGGTACAATGTAGGGGTGTTAAAAATTATTGATTTTTAGATGCATTGTGATGCTGACTTGGACAATTATGAATCGATTAACAAATGTCAATAATCGATTATCTACAGGTTAATTGATAACGTAATATTGATGGAACAAAAAGGCGGGTCTCGAGGTGATGCATCGTTATGCACACAACAGAGACATGTGGTTCTCCCTGTTCGACAGCCATTGGTTGATTGAAAGACTGCTGCTACTAAACTTTCACATGATCAATACTTGGCTAATGTTCTCTGCTCATTCTTCAAAAGACAGCTACGTGACAGGCGGCAGTAGGTGACGTGAAAGAAAGCGGAGAAGAGGAAAACATGAGTGCTACAGTCAGCACTAGCTAACATCTCTTCAGACTGCAGTCTGGAAGCTGAGCAGGACATCTTTTGGCTGCTAGTTCAATTTCATTTGTTGTCATTCATCCACATATCGAGTACACAAATTAACAAAATGCCGTTTCTCAAGGCCCATGGTGCTCAATACAAGATTACTATAATCAACTTACAAGACAAAACATAAACAAGCAACTACACTAGATGAGACAAAGAAAAAGGAACAGATATATTAAAGAGTTGGTATTATGCTCATTTTCAGGTTCAAAATCTTATTTAGGGGATGTACCAGAACAGGTTTACATGGTTTAATTTTCAAAAAACACCATATTTTTCTCATACTGCACATTGCTGAAGCTCAACGTTTACAACAACTCCGCACTTGAAAAGTCTGTGAAGTTACATTGCCGTGTTTATTTTAAATATAATTCACAACCAATAAAGCATACTTGCAGGTTGCGAATTTCCAGGCCCAAACAGAGTCGGAGTTGCATCGTCTTTTAGGACTAAACATTGAACTGCTGCCGGTGTTCCAACGATCTATGCTGCCTTGCCCAAAAATGCTACCATAGCGCAAATCCTCACACGCTCCTTGGTTGGTACAGGCATCCCCTGTTGCCAATTGCAGAGCTCCTCAACTCCGAAAATATTCAAGCACATTTTTGTTCCGCCATCACTTCTCGTAAAACTGTCAATATTCGAAATCTACACAGTTGATTTCTCACCTCAAAACTTCTCAGAAGTGGATTTGCTGATGAAATTACATCTGAAAACTGTAAAATATATAACTTTCTGTTGCTGGCCTCTGTCTGGTGCACGCAATGATGATGCAGTGAATAGTGTATAGTCTCTCTGACCAATCAGCAGTCTGACGTTAGTCAGAGTAGCAGTCACGTTACATTTTAGTATCCCTCAGCTCGCTTGGAACCTCGACAGAGGTGATACGAAAAAAGTTCCTGGAAGCAGGTACAGGTACAACATTTCTACAATGGAAAACCAAACAAAGGCGAGTCGAGCCAAAGGGCCTCTGCTCAGACTAGCTTGGTTTGAGGGCGTGCCTGACCCCGCTAGCCGCTCTGCAAGCTTTATGACGCGTTTTCATTGTGACATCACAAGTAAAGGGCTGGACTACAAACGCGCTGTTTTCAAACGGTTCAGAGCAGAGCTTTCTGTGGGAGATGGGAATTCCCTTTGGGCTGGACTTTGGACTTTTTTCACTTTGCAAACCTAGTACATGCACAAAAAAGATATATAACTCAGTAAAGGAGAGGGAAAAAGCCAAAAAGCATAATACCACCTCTTTAAGGTGGAGTGAACGTGTTTGGCTGGAGCAATGTAAAGTGGGTTCAACCCCCATCTGACTTGCTATGCTAATAACAGCAGCATCAGAAATAAAAATAGCAGCAGCAGAGGTCAGTAATAATGCTGTAATAATGTAATAATGCTATGCAATGCTAGCTATATTTATAAGAAGTAACATTAAATATCTGCATTTCATTACTACCTACTTGCTTGGATTGTTAGAAATACTGTGCTTTAAAAGTACCAAGTAGTCACACAGTCAGAAAAATACAACTTTATGGTAATGAGGTGCCAGAAATTCCCACCCTTGAGGTGATGCATTGTGATGCATCGAGATATTGAATCGAATAGTTGACCTGATTATCATAATCGAATCGAATTGTGAGACCAGTTAAGATGCACACCCCTAGTACAAAGCAAATGTGGAGCGATTTCTTTATACTAACCTATACTGATGAAAGGCAGAGGGAGGTGACGTTACATTAGCACAGTTCCACCACTGTTTGCTTTGTGACGGTCAATTTATATTTATTGTTGATTTACTGAAACTCAGGTACACAGCTTCCCACCCGTCTCAGTCACTGTTACTTACAATAATGCAACATAACGGTACAGGACAACACAGTGGAAGACCCATTTACTACCGTAACATTACTTAATGCGGTCTAACTGTTATAAAATGTGGCAACGATCTCATTTATAAAATTCAGTCCAGCTCACTAACCGTTTTCATTATCACGCAATACATTTAGCTGTGCTCACATTGCTGAGCCTCTCTGGTTAAAAGAGGGCACAAATAGTTACTGAAAAGCGGCAAGCGAGCTAACGCCGATGTAGCCCGTCGGCTCAATGCAGTAAATGTAACCTTACCATGCAACCATGCAACGTTGCAGTGGGAGTTTACATGAGTTTCAGCCACTTTGTGTGAAGCTCATGAGCAGATTTTGCTCATTCATGAGGTAAGCACACGTACAAGCACACATCAGGCTGCAATTTAGTACCACTACTCGCCACTGTAAACTACATAATGCCCCTTTAATTGAAATAAAATTTTTAATGTGAGAAACAAAACTTAAACTTACATGATCTGGTTATTTTCATCATAAGCTACGATTTGTGTCACCTCCCAGTCTCCTGACGTTAAGTGTCGAACTTCGTCCTGGTCGCTTCTTAACTGAAAGAGAATCAGTTTGGAGATTTGGAAACACAAGAAAATACACAACCTATCCTTTTAGGTCTTATTAGGTGGCCATTTTCTGCAGTGAGAGAATAAGAATCACAGGATACACAGGATGTTGAGGATAAAGAGGAAAGAGAAGAGTCCTTCTGGAGTCACCTTTTTGCTGAACATCGTGATGTGATGAAAATCTCCCTGACCTCCTTGTTTAACGGGCAGAGTAAGGAAAAACTTGTTTCTGTTGCTGGAGAACAGTGGCTCCTGTCTCTGCAGACAGAAACACAGACCTCAGAGGTGACATACTTCATGCATGAATGAGTCCTGCTGTAGTCTTCCCTCAATATCGTATATTGCTGTGAGGATAATAACTGGAGAAGACATGCTTATATAAGGATTGTTAGGAGATTGCTGTTAAATACGGTTATGAAAAATGTCTGTTTTCAAGTTTACCTGTCTGGATAGCCATGTCTCTGAAGACTCCTCGTGCCTCTGAATAAAAGAGCAGAAAACATGGTTACATGTGCAATACAAAGACATTGTGAGTAGTTGTTGCTGGGGAAATTAAAAAAAAAAGTCAGCCTTTAATTTTGTCTGTCCCTTGTTTTCACTAGTATGTCACTGGAGACCTGTTGCCAAATGCTTGCTCATGGTTGGAGTTGTTGGTTCTCTTTAAATAACATTACAAAGAGTACGGTTTAGACCTGCTGAAAAGTGCAAGATAACTTCCGGCACTATATAAATACAATTGAATTGAAGTAATGTTATGCATTTATGCAAATTACTTATCATTGTTCTAATGCACAAAAGCTAAAACAAAAAAATAAAATTTACACTGTTTGCACATCAAAATATGTTTTCTTTCTTGTTCTTGTGAACTAAGTTAAACTTTAATTCAATACATTTAAATATATCAAATGTACATTCCACTTGAATTTTGTGTGTTGTTGTCATACGATTCAGTCTGATGTGTGTGTCTGATAAATACAGTATTGTAGAAGTACGTTATATGCAATTAACTGGTTAACTGACTTATAAAGACAATCAGGTGAGAGTTTATGGTTAAACCTTTGTCTCGTGTATTGAATAAGAAAAATGTTGAAGATGCAGATCACACAGATAGGATTACGGTAAGGGTTCATGGATGAATTTTTCTATTTTATTGTGACCTTAAGGGATTGTCTCATACTCCTGTCTGTTCTTTGGAAGTGTTCCATATGTCCATATTGGCCACAAATAAATCCCTTTCTAAAGCATAATATAATGTAATGGGGGACCAAATCCACAGCCCCAGTCAGGGTTCGCTACGTGGGAGCTCAGCCCCATAATGAAGGGTCTGCTACAACGGAATGACAACCACAGAAGTGGGGGCACAATCAGTGGCGATCCTGGGAAGAAAGGAACCCCTGCCTGTTTGCAAAGGAGGATGGTGTTGGAGGCCTTGTATGTAAGAAAGCCAAGACACTTTTACTGTCTGAGAAAAGGCTTGGAGTGCATTTGGCAGAGGCCTGGATCAATGGGAGTGCCCTGAAGAAGAAGAAGAAGCCCTGTCCAAAAGCAGTTTTACATACACCGTGACAGCATTGCTCACAAATGAGCTTTTGAAATAGCAGAGATCAAACAAAAAGATGTGCTTCTAAGGAAAGTTGCAGAATTCGGATCCACTAAGTTTAAGGAGACAGCTAGTTTGTTCAGGGAAGCCTATACTGTCACTAAAGAAAGGATGCCTTATACAAAATTAAATCCCATTATAAAATTTAATTTGATGAATGGTGCAACAGTCGGCCCTGCTCACAGATCCGATCATTCATGCCCAGATTGTAGAGCAAATTGCACAAGAGATGAAAAAGAAATTTATTTCCACTGTCAAATCACTTGATTCCCATATTAGCATAACGCTTGATGAAAGCACAATTAATGGACGCTCATACATGATTATTTATGTCAGGTGCGATGTCACTGGGAATGGAGATGTGGACAATGTTTTTCTTGACATTGCTGTACTGGACCAGGGCACAGATTCAGAGTTGCTGTGTACTGCATTCAAAAACTGCCCCCTGGCAGCAGGAATGGACGAGGAGTGTCTTCGAAAAAACCTGATCAGTATAGCCACAGATGGGGCATCGGTGTTAACTGGGAGACCGACTGGACTCATAGCTCGACTGAAACAGGATTTTCCTCAACTTCAGGCAGTTTATTGTCTTGCAAATTGCTTAGAATTAGCAGTAAAATACACATTGAAGGTGGTGGCAGGCTGTTATCATTTAGAGTTTTTTTCTCTCACCAGTCACCAGTCCCCCCAAAATGCAAGGGAGTTAAAAGAAACGGCTGCCCAGGATTTTCAACACGGTCAAAGCTGTGCTGAAGGATTTCACAGTATTAGCACATGACTAAGTCTGTGAGTGAGGATGGCTTCCTTTCCAGTGTAGAGACAGCCAAGTACACCGGTTTACATAAACATCTGACGTCCACTGGATTCCTCGCTGGTCAAGTGACATGAAAGATGTGTTACGTGAACTTCAAAGTCTCTCCCTAAAATTACAGAAACGTGACACGTACCTGGTTAATGTAAGCCGACACATACACCAAACATTTCAAAGGATGTGACCTCACTGAAACTAAAATAAACAAGTCCCAATTTTACCAGTCCATCATTGCTAATCTTACTAGGCGTCTACCCAATAGTGAGCTTTTAGCTATGCTGAAGCCACTGGATCAACACTTCGGGCCGAAAGGACAGAGCTTGTTTTATTTGGAGATTGTGTAGTGGGGAAGTTTGCTAAACTCCTTGGAGCGATCTGTCAAAGAAGCTGTCAGCACCATCAGAGTAAAGCCTTGAGCAACACTGTTCTCCCAACTTCTGCAGAGTGTGAGAGGGGTTTTTCTGCATCTAATGACACTGACTGCAAAACCAGGGGCTGGTTGCGAGCCAACAGTCTTGTTGTTTGTGGATCTAAATAGGCCTCCCATCGACCAATTTGAACCTCTCCCTTCCGTACAATCTTAGATAGAAAAAGGACATCTGACTTCAACATCATGGGTTTCAGGAATGTGACTGCAGCCTCCAGAAAACAGACCGCATTGGTGTATTTTTTCTCCGTAATGGTAAGAGAACAGCCTTTATTGTTTACTAGCCTGAGAGTATTGTGTTATGTGGTGTATGAAAATTGCCGAACAGCTGCTGGTTAACATTTTGCACTGTAGCGCATTTGAGTGGTCGAAAAGACTAGAAAGGCGCTATACAAGTACGGAGCATTTATAAATCCATGGGCTCTTACACTGGTTGTAGTCTACTACTGTATTAGACTCTCTATTGACTGCTGCTTGTTTGTTTTGTATTATTGGCTTTATGACGCATCCTCCAATTAGTAGAGCGCTACATATGATCATCTGCTTGCTACTGTGTGCCAGAAGCGAGCAGTGTGTAAAATAACAACACAAAGGGCAGAATTGCGTTCTTTTCTTGTGCGATATGTCTCTGTTGGCATATTTCAGGCTATTGAAACTTTGTTGCAATATCGCAGACATCTGGGGTAAATACTGAGCTGCTGTGTGTGAGTGTGTGTCTGAGAGAGAAAGTGTTGGACCAAGTAATGAGTAATGAAGTCTCTGTCTGTCTCTCTGTCTAGGATTTATTTATTGTTATATTAGAGACCCCCATGAAGCTCAGATTATACCTCTAACCCTGGCCCTAGTTCTGTGTAAAAATGTTTTAGTCATATCAACTGAGTATCCTCCTCTTTTTGCTTCAAAATTCCTTCTTTGTATTACTGTTCCTCCACCACAGTTCAAGAACACTGTCTGCAGAAACACAAAGAGGGAACTTGGTACTAAAACATACATAACTTTGGGAGACACCCAACCTAGACAGCTCATTTTAGCTTCAGATAAACTTTGGTATGTATTTTTGTCTTTCACTTACATTGAAATTGCTTCATAAAATGAGTCTCTTTGCAACCAGTATGCACTCTGAATGTACACATGGCCATGTGAGTCAGTTACATTGAAACGCAGCCAGTGTTTGTTACCATTTATGGCTTCACTTGGGCCTTATTGGCCCTAAGAGACTGGGCGTGAGACTTGAAAATGAAGACAGGAACATGGTAGAGACTCCAGTATCCAACATTTTGAAAAGAACTACTCTGACTGTTCACTTTTATGTGTAAAGTAGCTAAATGTTGTACATCCACAAGTGCTTATCTGCCTCAGTGGCTACAGATGTTGTTGCAAATATCTCATCCTAATCTTAATCTTCGACCCCGTCGTCCAATCAAAACGTACCCACCTGAAGACAGATTCCTATGGTGGCGTCACACACTGTCAGCAGTGAAGCATTCTGGGGCCGGTTAAGCCACCGCACTGCGAGGTGAGTATTACTGATCCACTTCACCATGGTGATGTAGAAATCCCTGCAGAGAAGACGCAGAGAGGAGAATCAGAAAGGATTTAATTCCTTTGTGCACCACTGCTGTATTTATTTATTTATTTATTTGTGTATGTTACCTGAGTCTGAGCTGATCTGGAGGCTGCAGTTCCTGCGTGTGTGTTGCTCCAAACAGGTTGACCACCGACAACTTGACAACTGGGTTTGTCTGACCGGCCTTAACGTTGAAGACAGACACAGAGAGATTATAATCAGATAATATCGTTATCACTACACTACATTTTCTGTGAGTGCGATGGGAGCAGATTATCCCACTGATTAATAATATCAGTTTAGTAAAACTGCAACAGCACCAAAATGTGCTGTGATTTGCACTTTGACCTTTTAAATTAACACTTAATTTTACTTAATAAATATTAATGTATCATTTAAACTTTATTCTCCATATATGATAACTAGTATGCTTGCATGTTCAGTTGACTTGCAGTTAGGTTAAAGTTATACCAGGAATTAAGTAAACCACTTGAACACTGTCTCCCTTTTACCTATAATTATTCCATACAAAGTTGTTGGGAGGAAATATTTGATAAAATTACCCTTAAGCAGGAACTACAGAAACAGCTCAGTTTTTAGGCTCTGAGTCAAACTGTGTAGCAGATATTTAAGTTGTAAAACTAAAATTTTTCTGTGCCACCTTTGCCAAATGCTTGCTCATGGTGGGAATTGTTGGGTCTCTTTAAATAACATTACAAAGAGTACGGACTTGACCTGCTCTATGAAAAGTGCAATAAGATAACTTCTGTTATTAACCGGCACTCTATAAATACAATTTAACTGAATTAATGTTATGCCTTTTATGCAAATTACTAATCGTTCTAACTTTGAACAAAACCTAAAACATTCAAATATTGCACTCTATGTTGGAACATCAAAATATTTTCTTGCAGCTTTCTTGTTCTTTTGAACTAAGAAGTGTACCTTTAATTAAATACATTTAAATATATCATTTTAAATTAAAGTCAGAGTTTGCAGAAGTGTCAGTTAATGCTTTAGCTAAAAGGTATCTCCCAACTAGCCATAAAAGGAGTTTCTTTTGGGGGGATTCAAGAAAACAGAATCAGGTGCTTCTTATGGCTTTTATAGCTTTTTTATTGATTAAAACAGTTGAAAAGTTTTATTGGATGTTTAATCATTTTAGTTGTTTCTTTTCTTTCTTGTGCAGTATTAAATAGTGTTGAGCGCTTTTTTAACATGTTGGGAATTGTTGCACTAAACTAGTTAAGATCATTGCCTCCCCCCTTAATGATTTCATCCTGAAGAGCTGTACAGATGCACAAACAGTAAGCACACCTCCACTAATAATAGAAGCTTCCTGAAAAGTTTTCCATTTTAGTAGCAGGAGGATGGCGAGTAAGTTTCTCTTTGAAACTACAGAGTACTGACCTGCCGTCCATTAGTGAACCTGACAATCCACACAGCACCATGTTGAATAAAGTCTACTCTTAACTGCTTTTCAGGAAGCAAGTCTTCCAGCACATTTTCTACATATAAATACTGCAAAAACAAGACATTTTGTCTAAAAAATATATAATTAAGTACAGTTTGAAATAAACAGTTTGTTTTAAAATATCTTCTTCTCTCTTCAATTTCTGAAGCAGATTCTGAATTTAGTTCATCACCTTCATTTATTGTAAGAATGTGATTTTCACACTCACTGTGAAACCTAAAGATTGGGGAAAGAGATGGATTACCTATGGGGCAACAGGGCTCCAGAACCTAAGGGCCCCCCAAATGTTACATGCTCATTGTATAGCAATTTGTTTAAGGTAATATATTTAGGATTTGCTCATCTAAAAGTGCAATATAAACTGACAGGTCCTGCATTTTCAACTAATCCTGTTATCATATCTTGTTATGGGCACCCTTTAATATTTCAGATGTATAAAATCAGTTCAAATCATTCACAAATATACAATTTATTCGAAAAGTATTGTCTTCTGTACAAATATAGTCCAGTTGACTACAGAATCTCTTATTGTTGGTGCAAGGTACATTTATTTCTTATCATTATGTTGCTATTCGGGTCTGTCTCTATTAAATATCAATGCATGTGTGTTGTGTTCAGGTAGGTTTTCGTCTAGTCTGTTTTGAATAAGGTTAAAAATTTTGCAAATTAGGGAAAAGATTAAACATGTCTAATGTCACTTGTTCAAATTGCTTGTTTTTTCCACCCTACAGTCTATTGAGGTTATTATCATAGATGACAAGATAAAGGAATCAATCTTCACATATGAGAAGCTGAAGCAATTATTCTGAAATATTTGCATACATTTTCTGTTGATCCAGCTCTAAATAGTATTTGTTGATTTCAGGGGTTTAAGGCAAAATATTATGACGCTGCCATGTTGTTATCTACTGTATCTAATGGGTTAAAGACAAAAGAGAAAATATAAGGTTTGCATGGAATAAAGCAGGAAAACAAGTAAGAATAAAAGTCTTTATGTATTTCTCTGTAACTTAATACATGATGTGAGGACTTTCTTTCTCAGACTTACCATGGGATATGGATACTGTAGTCCTTTGGGGTAGGTGCTGCCGGTGAACTGGGGCAGAACCATGTTGGGTACCTGGGTGTCGTTGATGGTGAGGAAAGCCAGTCTCTCTCCGTCAGGCGACCACCAGTGAGCCAAGTGTGAACACAGGATCTCCTCTGAAAAGAAATATCCACAAACAACAACACATGATAGAGGTCTTTTTTTCTTCTCATTCTGACTCTTTAATGCTCAGAGGTACGAATTATTAATTAAAATTTCTTTGTTTTATTATCACACATGTTCCTTTTTGTGCCGCTTACTTGTTGGTTTCATTTTATTTTTCCTGTAAGTTGTTTAGATATCAGCAGCCAAATGTGCTACAAGTTATTTTCAATCTAATAGAAAATACAAATAGGTTAAAAAAACCTTTTAAAAAAACAGTAAAAATAAAAAAAAATTTGGCTGTTTTTTCTTTCATAGTGTTGGTGAACATGTATTCTGCTCTTTCCTTCATTGTCAAAACATCAGCCAAATGGTTACAATCTAAAGCAAATCAAAAAGAGAAAATACACAGCTTGCAGTAAATCTACAAACAGAAATGAGTCTATAATGTTCCCCATCGTTCCCCAGTCTGTGTTTGTGCTGCTCTCTGTACAAACGGCGCAGACCATCACCACATTACTGAATTTGTTTACGCAGCGACTTAATGGATTGTAGAGGCGTGTTGTTGATTTTTCATCGCCATTCTGCCTAGTTTGTCTATTCTGTGCTGCTGCATTTATAATGCAAAAGACAAATCTTTGAAACGCTTCATAGAGCTGAAGTGAGGATGCACAGTGAACTCCCAAAACTATATTCTCGACCTCTGATCACACCTTTCTCTGTGCCTCCTGGCGACTGAAAGGACACGAGACAGATTCATCAAAACACTACTTATTACAAGGTAGATTTTATTTATAATTTTACAACACAGGGTTGTATAATGAGATAATAATAATACTACATTTTATTTGTGGGCGCCGTTCATAGCACTCACGGACACATTACAGATTAAAACAGTTAAAATACATTTCAAGGAGACAAATACAATAAATAAAAAATACAATAAATAAAAAACAAGACACAATTTGAAGATTAAAATGTAAAAGTAAACGAAAGCAGTTCATCACGAAGCCGGTGGAAGGTGGAGTTATGTGGGGTAGGCCTTTAGAAATAAGTGGGTTTTGAGTGAAGTTTTGAAGGAGGACTTGTGAAGTAGACCAGAGAGAAGGGAGTTACAGTAATCAATATGGGAAGTGACAAGAGCGTGGATGAGAGTAGCAGTGTTATGTTGTGTAAGTGAAGGATGAAAGCGGTTGATGGTGTGTAAATGGAAATAAGCAGACCAGGTAAGATTATTAATGTGTTTTTCAACGGAAAGTGTGCTGTCAAGGATGACACCAAGACTCTTGACATGGGGGAGGAGGAGACAGTGGAATTGTCTATGAGGTAAGCAAAATTTGGACATTTTGCTAGGGTGGATTTGGAGCCAACAAGGAGAATTTCAGTTTTATCACTGTTTAGTTTGAGGAAGTTTTGAGTGAACCAGGTTTTAACTTCATCTAAGCAGTCAGTTAGAGAAGATGGAGGGAATATAACCGTAGGTTTGGTGGACAAATAGAGCTGGGTGTCATCAGCGTAGCAGTGACATTGGATATTTCCTGAGAATAGAACCAAGGGGAAGTAAATAAATTATAAAAAGGAGTAGCCCCAGGACTGATCCCTGGGGAACATGACTGGTGACTGGGGAGGGTTGTGTTTGAACATTTTTAAGTTGTACAAACTGAGTACGGCCAGATAGGTATGATGTGAAAAAGTTGAGGTGATGTGTTGATGATACCAATGGAGGCAAGAGGATATTGTGAGAGATGGTATCAAAGGCAGCAGTCAAATCAAGAAGGATAAGTATGGTAAGAAGACCTGAATCAGCAGGCATTAGTAGGTCATTGGTGACCTTGATTAGTGCTGTTTCTGTGCTGAGAGGGCAAAAACTAGATTGAAACTGTTCATAGAGGTTATTGTTGATGAGATGAGTATGGACCTGCTCAGCAACAGTTTTTTGAAATAAATGGCAGGTTGGAGATTGGTCTGAAATTATTTAGGTCGCTTGGATTTGCACCAGGTTTCATTAGTACAGGGGTAATAGCATCAGTTTTGAGAGAAGAGGGGACATGAGCAGAAATAAGAGAGGAGTGGATGATGTTAGTTATAAGAGAGGAGAGGGAGGGTAGGCAGATTTTAACTAGGTAGGTAGGGAGAGGGTCAAGCTGGCAGGTGGATGACTTGGATTTCTGGACAAGGTCAGATATTTCAGTGACAGTTGGGAGTAGGAAACTAGATAATAAAGTAGAGGGGGGGGCAGAGGTAGGTGGATAAAGTGCACCATTATGTGAGGTGGGTAGCTGTTGATTGATGTTGTCAATTTTGTTTTTGAAAAATGAAATGAAATGAAATTCAAAATGAGATGGAGCAGGGTGGATTAATTTTGGGTAGTGGTAAGTTGACATTAAAAGAAATTAACTTATGGTCAGAGATGGGCAAGTCAGATGCAGTGCAATTAAAAGGGGTTAGACCAGAGAAACAGATGAGGTCTAAGATGTGTCCTTTGTTATGAGTGGGAAAATCAACATACTGTTGTAGTCCAAAAGGAGAAGTCCTTTGTGTGAGTGTTGCTACTGTTGTCCATATGAATATTGACAGAATAATGACATTGGGGGCAATGGAGCAGATGGATGTTAGAAATAAATTAAAATCAGTTAAAAAAGTATTATTGCAAGACTTGGGTGGACGATAGATAGTTGCTAATATGTTAGGGACTGGCCCATTTATTTGCAGGACTATGGATTCGAATGAATTGGAGGCAGGGGTGGTGGCAGAGGACACTTTCAATTTGTCATTGAAAAGTATTGTAAACCCGCCTCCTCGACCTGACCTGCGCGATTGACAGATGTCAAACCCGGGTGGTACAGCCTCGTTGAGTTGTGCGTAATAGTTCTGCTGCTGCCAGGTTTCAGTCTGGCACAAGGTGTGAGCAGAACCATCTACAGCTCAACGTGACAAAGACTAAGGAGCTAGTTGTGGATCTAAGGAGAGCCAAGGCACCAGTGAGCCCTGCTTCCATCCAGGGGGTCCCTGTGGACATTGTGGAAGATTATAAATACCTGGGAGTGCACTTGGACAATAAATTGGACTGGGCCAAGAACACTCAAGTCCTCTACAGGAAGGGCCAAAGCCGTCTCTATTTTCTGAGGAGGCTGAGGTCCTTCAACATCTGCAGGACGATGTAGAGGATGTTTTATGAGTCTGTGGTGGCTATCCTGTTTGCTGTTGCATGCTGGGGCAGCAGGCTGAGGGTAGCGGACACTAACAGACTCAACAAACTGATCTGCAAGGCCAGTGATGTTGTGGGGGTGGAGCTGGACTCTCTGTTGGTGGTGTCAGAGAGGAGGATGCTGTCTAAGCTACATGTCATCTTGGACAATGTCTCCCACCCACTGCATGACGTGCTGCTCAAACACAGGAGCACTTTCAGTGCAAGACTTATTCCCCCAAAATGCACCACAGAGCGCCACAGGAAGTCATTCCTGCCTGTGGCCATCAAACTTTATAACTCCTCCCTCTAAGTGTCTGACACATGGACAGTTAGTTAGTTTTAAACTGGACAATATTATCCGTTTTGTGCAATAACACCTGCTTAAATTATACAGGGGCTGGTCATATAATTAGAATATGCAGTAATTCAGGCAAAAAGGAGCCCCCCAACTAAGTGTTGAGTGCTGTACATGCTCATACTTTTCATGTTCATACTTTTCAGTTGGCCAACATTTCTAAAAATCCTAAATATAAGTCTGTTTGTAATGAATGAATATAATACCCAAGTTTCACTTTTTGAATGGAATTACTGAAATAACCTGTAATGTGCAATACTCTGCTGCTACTATTTATGCCTTATTACTGTTCACCATAACAATTCCTTAATTATGTAAATACTGTATCATAACAATTCCTTTAACTATGTAAATACTGTACATATCCACACTCCTTATATTATTTTATATTTTTACTCTGATATTTATATACTTCTCTATATACCACTCTCTTTATTATATTCATTTGCCCTTGTGCAATGTGGGCAACTGTAACACAGAATTTCCCTTCGGGGATCAATATATGTATTTCTGATTCTGAAGTCAAATTTGTTGTCCTGCAAAAGATCGTAGATCAGGGGACCCTTGTTCGTAAGCGAGCTAACAGCCCGACAGAGACAGGGCTGTAGCCAGGATTTTCCCCAGCTTACCTGGCTAAGTCAGCTAGCACACCATGATCAACAGCACGGTGGTGTTTTCTTGGCGGAAGAGGTGACGATGACCAGAAAGATTTTATTGATGAAGATGAAGTAATAATAACTACCATGGAAGTATTTCCAGAATAATGTACATAGGGCCTGATTTACTAAAGGTCTGTGTGAGTGAAAACGTGTGCAAACTTGATATCACCAGTAAATTTGCATGTAAGCTGATCTGATCACGGTGTGCACGCAGAATGACGTCTTTCAAAAGCACAAGATAGCACCTGTTGTTCATTTACTACTTTTGTCTTGATGAATATGCAATTTGGGGTGTAACAAGCAAATACATTTATTTACTACATGCAATGTGATCTACCAAGCCTAAACGCAATTTCACACAGCCTCTGTATTTAATACGTTTGAAAGGAAGGTGCAAACCACCAAGTGTTGTGCAGAGATGGCTTCTGTTATTGTTGCCAGAAGGAGACACAGCCATAATGAAAGAATATGTATGAACAATATTAGATAATATTATTCTATATCCAATGTATAGAAATAAAATCATTCTTTCAATGAACTATATGAATAGAATTATTTTTTAATTTTCCTTTAGCTTTGGCAATACTGTTGTATTAACATTCATGCCAATAAAGCAAATTTCGTTTAGACCTGACTTCTTTTCTCCGTGAGATGGAAGAATTTAGAAAGTTGCGTGGCACTGCGGCGAGCCCCCAACTGCAGTAGTGCACGGATCACGCGTAAAATTCATCCAGCCAGAGGGAACGATCATCAACTGTTTACAGCGTGCCGGTCTAAATAGCGACACAACCCATTGTAGGTATCACAGAAGGAATGGGGCGTACAGAGTCAGGACCAGGAGATCACGGAGCGACCGGACACGGTGCGGACAGTTGGCGATTGTTCCCTCTGGCTGGAAGAAGCACGAGCTGCATTTCCTCACGTCTGGGTCATTCCAGCAAACTGTATCTGTTTCTGCTGAGGTTTCCCAAAGCAGTTTTTCCAGGTGGCTGGCCCAAGTACTTAGTTCAATCTCAAGCAGGATGGGCAGGTACATACGATTTCCACATACTCGGGACGCACTGAATGAAACAAACCAAGGTTTTTATGCAGTGGCTGCTTTCCCTCCCGACTCTCCATGGCAGAAATCATTAAAACACGCAAAACCCTCATTTAAATACTCCCACCTCCATTGTGTTTGCTCCTGTTGTCATCTACGCAATAATTCTTAGTAAATCACCCATAACAGGTTGCACGTGCAAAATTTTAGAATGCACACGCAATTTAGTAGGCTACTCTTTATGAATGCTTTTTGTACAGGGCCCCTGATGAAAAATGTATGTAATAAAACATAAGTAGTATAGAACTACATATCATTTAAGCACATCATGTTTTTATGTACAAAGTACTTTCTCAAATACTTCCTTCAATTTTATTAGTGAAAAAAGGTTGAAATGGCAGATGGTACCCATTCATTTAGAAATATGGTCTTGAGTCTATTGAGTCAGAATCAGTTTAAAAAAAATAAAAATTAATTTGTGAAATAAACCCCCAAAACCCGGCAGAAACAGCCTGTGTACAGAGCTGTTGTGACTGAACTCACCTTCGTACAACCAGTCGGCAAGTCCATTGAAGATGACTCCCTCCATCCCAGAGGAGGTGATTCTCAGGGAGTTACTCCTCACGTCTGACTGGTAGTAGATGTTGTTCTCAAAGATGTAGATCTAAAGACAAAGAAAATATCAGTTGTTCACTCACAGTCATGCATGAGCACATACCTATGTTTATTTTGTTAGTTGTGTTCCTCACCGCTCTTTTTCACTTCCTGAATCTGAGTTTTTGCTCGTCCGTTCAATTTGTTTTAGTTTTTGATTTCCTCTCTGATGAGATTTTTTTTTTTATATTAAAGCCGCTGCATGGTTATCTCACCACGCAGCAAACGTGTGTGTGTTTACTCTACTCCTTCCATCAGTGTTTTAATATTTGCATTCGATCAGCCCGACACATCCTGCATGTTCGCCAAATATCCTCCTGAAATCATTTTTCTCCTGCACGGAAAGCATTTCACCTTTTTTATTTATTTCCCCCAGCTCTGTTGAATATCCATTAGTCACACAGCAGCCATTTTGGAAAACTGAGCTTTCATACTGCTGAGTACCAAAAGATACATGTCTGAATCTTAGTCAGTTATCCAATCAGACATAAAAGGTCAGCCTCAAAAGGATGCTGCAACCCAAACATAGAAATATTAGAATAAAAATAGCTGCCACACAAACGTAAGGAACTGCTAATAAAAGGACAGAAACAACAAAGCTTTCTTTTATTAAATAACTATGAAAACTATTTATCTTCTGAGATTATAAATGATCCCAGATTGACAATCAGAAGTATTACCAATGGATTACCATTACAAATGGATTAGGCCAAATATTTATTCTGAAATATAACACTGGTATTTAGCAATTAGCTAACAAATTTTGTAAGAGAGGGTACTTCCAAAGATATTGAAAACTTTAGATAGTGTGATGTCTCCTTATTTCTTTTGTTTATATTACAATTTCCTGGAAAGAACAATTTTATACTAAGCTTCTAGGAATGAAGATAAGAATGGGGGAATGTTTATGAGCAGTTATTGACTTCTTAATGACAGAAAACCCTTATTAGGTTCTTGCACATCCACCCAGGAGATGATGATTACTTTGCTTGAGTAATCCTGCTCTGTGTACAGACCGCGTTTGATTGACTCCTCTCTAAATCTCTGTTGTACATGTTAGACCAATTACACCTTTATTATTCTCATTAGCACATGTTAGTCTTATTAGTTTGCAGAGATTGTGTAATTTGTGTAATAACTTTTTCCCAGAGTTTTTCACTTTTGACCTGAGCATAAGACAAACAAAAAAGAAAACATCTGTGTGTGTTTGTATGTGCAGGAATCCTTCTTCTCTTTATATTTGGATCTTTGTTTATATACAGTTCACTCTTGCAACTCCATATCAGAGTTGTATTTAGTTACTGCTAATGAAGACCTGAACTTTCCTAATGCTGCTCCTTCACATTAAAACTAGCAACACACTGGCTGGCTTTTATTGTGGGTTTTTTTTTCAATAGTTTTTTCAACAAGAAGTTGTTCTGAGGTCAAATAAAGTAGTTATATATATTTTCTAATCTTTGGTAAATAAAAAACAGTGTTGGGATAAATTTTATGTGTTAAACACAGTCTTCATTTTTCATTGCAGTGAGATCCTTAATAAACTATTATGAAAACCTGTAAAATAAAGTGTCACCTATACTTTCTTGGCTCAAATAACACTAGATCTGGTGCAGAAGTCCTCACTCATCTGTATACGAGACATCATGTGTGTAATGTAAAGCTGGAATTAGGTCAGTGGCAGAGCAGACTGACTCTAAGACAAGCAGAGAAACAGGCAGACACAGCTCAGTGAGGATGTAAACAGAGCCTATACTGTAAAAACAGGAAGAAAAGAAGATCATTGTTGGATCAAATCCCTCCGGAGAGACGAGGCAGCATGAATTTATAAACAGACAGTGAGGAGAGGAAAAGATGGAGAAGCAACAGCAAGAATCACATAAACACAAACACGCAGCCTTACCAGCTGTTGTCCTTGTCTTCCCCAAGCAGCGTGTTGGAGCACTGCGTTCTGAACCTCCGGAGGGTTCAGCTCCCAAACCTCCCTGATACACAAACGCACACATGTTAGAAATCACCATCTGCTTCTGAATGCCACCGTGTGCATCAGGTGCTTGCAAACATGACAAAGGTAAACCTCACCTCGTGTATATGTTGTAAATGATGAAAGATGCCGTGTATGAATATCTGTACATCTGCAACGAGAATTCAACTCATCACATACAATGCAAAGTCCATTTGTGATACCCCCCGTGGCAGCGTCAGCCTCTCTAAATCAAGAAAAGACATGAAGCTTAAGACGTCCGCATGGAGGAACTGGAGCAGCTAATAACTAACAAAAACAAAACTGGGTTTATATAAACAGAAAACAATGGAACCAACAATTTAAACACAATTTTTAAAAATATATATTTATTATATATTATTGCTTAAAGTTGTGTGAAATGGGTTTTATTTCTCAAAAGGATAATGTCTCAAGCTTTGCAGATAAAAACAACTTTTACTCAACCCCTTAACATCCAGTGTTTATTTCCCCTTTTATTTCCCCCAAAGTAGCTTTGTAACACTGTCTGACAGTTCCATATGTATTCTGTATCAGCTTGTGCCAGCTCTGCATGAAAGCTATATGTTTACACTCAATCAAATATTCAGCCTGACCTATTTATAGAAATCAACACTTTTTTTAAGGCCCAAATCCCCAAGACTTTCTCCTTTCCTTCACTGCCAGGTGAACTGTGCTATGTGTGTCCCACACAGCTGATTTCCCTTCACGCATGGCGAAGCATTAACTGAAAGAAATTCAATTGAGAGTCACTAAAAATCTCAGGAAGTTGTGCTACTTGTACCTCAGAGGGATTTTGCTATGCCCTGGCAACAAATACAACTGGAGTGCAATCAATTAAGCCTTATTATGCAGAAGAGAAGTGGAGTGAAATGTGCAGAAGATAATGCAGAAGAAATCAGTGTTTCTGTATATACAGACTTTTTTCTATAATTAAACATGCGTCCATTTCATTGAGATGCCCTTAAGATGTGGTTTGGATCTGGCAATTTTTACAGAATATACTGCAGGACACACAAACGTCCTCCTCTGGTGTTTCAGCTGCTGCAGTGTTTCTAAACCTGAGCCTGGATCCATCTGTTTGCAAACAAATCTAAAAATCAATGGAAAAACCTTGACTTTGAGGAGCCTCATGGTGGACAGCTGAATGGTATGACACACACACAAAAAAACACTATTTATCAAGAATACACAAAGAGCAAATGCACAAGCAGCACAAACCCCACAAGTAAAGGCAACAAAACAGAAACACAACAAACACACCTGTCCAATGCAGGGAGAACTGTTAAGTTAAGTGTTCGGTCCAGCATCTGACGCCAAAGCATCAAAGTTAATCTTTTAAACTAAAGTCTATTTGAATTTAAGAAAGAGAAAATGGCAAAGTTCAAGTGATTTTGATTTATTGTTGTGGGTTGGAGAAGCACTTTAATTTGAAACTCACCTGCTTGACATCATAAGCAAAGAGCGCATACTTCAGATCTGCAGAGAGCGAGTACTTTGCCACCTTGAAGGCCACCTTACAAAGGAAAACGTAGATTTTTAGACTCAACACTTTTCTTTGTAGACTTTTCTTTATTTCACAATGATTTTGTTAAACAGAAGAAACTGATACATTAAGTGGAAAGCAATACTACAAACAAATACGTACAATAAATAAGTAAATGATAAGTAGATAACTTATATAAATGAACAAATATGCAAGTGAGCAAACAAGGACACACTGTTAGATGTTTATTAGCTACTTAGAAATAACAATTACCACTGAGTTTAGAGTGTTAGCATTTGTACTACCGAGGTACAGCTGATGAGTTTTGCAGGTATTTAGTCAGAAAACATGAATTGTTTTACCACTTTGGGTACAAATGAGAAAGACTGGTTGGCAGCAGAGTCTTGTCATGTTTTTATATGAAGAATTCATAGACAAAAAAGAAAACACTGATGAATCAAATATATGCTTCCTGAACGGAAGAGAAATACATCATAAGAAAAGAAAGAGGTGCATCTTGGTGATTTATAAAGCTCTTCTGTCTGCTTTCATTGTTTATATTTCCAGCTTTCATCCCATGACAACGACAAAAAAGGCAGCATGAAACTAATCTTGCAACTAAAGGCCAGAAAACCACGCGGGAGCCACGGAGGGTTTTGACATTTCTGGGAGAGGACGGGGTGGTCGACATTTCAAAAGATGTCCAGAGTCACTTTTCAACTGTTGTGCAGTGAGACGGAACAATTAGTAAGACCTTAAAAAACATGTGTTATTTAAAAATGAGATTATTTCTCTCTTGGACGCTCTTCTTTTGTTGCCTGAAAATGTCTCCTATTTGTTTTTTGTGTAATAACTCAAATCTCCAGCTATTTTTCCAGCAGTGATGAAAGCTGTGCAGCCAGACAGTGTGTTCAGTTCGCAATTTTGGGGTTGGGACGTATCAGTGACTTCCCAACAATAAGCCCACCTCTGCTTTTTGAATTCGCTTGCATAGTTTGACGAGCTTACTGCGGGGCTTCAAATCCTCATCAAATCCCCTTATGCAACCATTAAAAGCACAAGCTATAATCGTGTGGGACAATTCTGAAAAGAGGGAGGCAGGAAAGGAGCCAAAGCCCTTCAAAGAAACATTTTTATTAAAAAAGGTGTTCTACAGAGAAGGCAAGAGGCTGAGAGTAAAAGGTTTATGGTTTATGGAGTATGAGTGTCATGGAATTGCAGGATTATAATGATGTATTAGAAAACAGCTAAATTTGTCCTGCTTTTATTAAACGTTAGTATTCCTGGTTAAATTGTAAAGCATCTAAAGGATGTTTAGTTTACAAATACTGACATATTTTGTTGTTCCTGAACACCACGTCCTCGCCTAAACGTCAAAAGAGGTAGATTGTCCCAAAACGACATATACATCCGTTAGAAAGCACAACGATGTATACAACTGTTCCCCAAAATGACAAGTACAAACGTTGGCAAGTACCAGTCCAGCGAAAGGCGTACCAGACCTTATGTAAGTCAGGTGACCTAAGTCAAATGATATTTAAAACATGGTAAACCTTGTGAAACGCTTGTAGTTTGGTTAGGTTTAGGAAAAGATCGTGGTACGTACAATACGTATGTCACACAACAAAAGTCACATATGAAATGTTATTTCACTTAAAACTTTAAATATGTCAACTTTGACTTTCTTTCAACGGGACTCGAAACCTCAGTCTTCTGAGTGAAAGCCCTAAGTTTCCTTCTCACGTCCATGCACCCTCCTTACACTGACTTAGTTGCTCTTTATTCTACGTTACCTGACTTCTTCCGCCACAAAACTTAAATATGAGTGGTAATAAGCTGCTGCATAATGGACGTTCTGGTTTACATTCATTAAAGTAAATTCATTAAAGTAAATTCATTTTGCGGTTTACTTTAAGTTGGTCACAAATGTGATCACTTTACTAACTGTTAAGTGATTTGGCTGCATTACAAGCAGGCATAATCTAAATTAATGTTTCAAACTGAATCGCTCTCTTTCCGGTAATTGTGCTGAGACGAGGTGAGTTTAGGTGAGCGGTCTTAAAGCCTGAGCACCTCACAGACAGTGCAGACAGCTGGGTACACAACGCTCTCAGCAGGATATTATCATATTCTGATTCTGCAGGTAACCGCCGGCAGGTCTGACATGTTTCCTGCAGCTCTGGGGATCCAATCACACCAGCAAGACAAGGAGAGAGCAGCTCGGTCTCTTCTTTTAAAGAATAGTGCTGAGGACTGGCCGGCAGCAATGTTAAGAGGCCTGTTCCCACATATACTATGCATATACCTCTGTCTTTTTTATGGAGCCCCAGATAAAAAAAATACAAATCTCTTTTGGAGCGCTGTCTACTTTATTTTCATCATTTTGTAACTTTAAAATCTTTGGAAGAGTCTTGTAAATAGCTATGTTTTGAAGAGTATATAAAATACCAATAATCCTGTGAAAAAAAGTTACCAATATTGATCGGGTTTTACAGCAGCAGTCACATCAGATGGATGCATGGATGTACACAAGTAGTTTTAGAAAAGGTTTTACCAACCTATATCAAGTTTTACGTGTTTTATTATGTTTTATGTAGTATTGTGGATATTCAAGCCTGCATGCATTGTATTTAATGCCTGACTGCAAGACACTTTCCCCTCAGGGAAATAAAATAAGAATATAAAATATGATAAATAAGAAAAAACTATTTTTCTGATATATGATCTGCTATATATTAAGGGAAGGCAGAAGAGGTAACTGAGCAGGCAGAGTTTAAATAAATGACTGTCACTGAAATTGGAATTTTATCAGGTTAGCATTTATGCGCTATCACAAGTAATGCAACCCCACACACGCGTCATCTAAAACTGTTGCAAAGGTGCTTAAATTCACTGCTTTGCAGCAACTGGACACAAATTCTAAAGTAGTGAAATAATCATGAGATGACAGAAGAGGATTAGGGCCACATGTGAAAAATGTATTTCAGAATAACTCAGAACTCAAAACACATTTTGTGTTTTATGTGGCTCTAATCCTCTTCCGTATAGGATTAGATTATATCATGTTGATGTAATAATTAACAAAAGCTTAGAAAAAGGGGGTATAAAACGTACAAATGTGCTGTTGCTCAGGATGACTTCCGTCTCGTTCAAGGCGAAGTTAAACTTGATGACGTGGCCGTCGCGGTTCCTGTACACCAACTCGGAATCTGAGAGAGGAAACACAGAAACATTAATAGCAGGATATCACATCAAAATCACGGAGCTGCACATAAGGACCAACTGAACTGAACTGTGAGGCTGCAGAAGGTGATCTCACCTAATAAAAGCAATACTACATTACTATACAGGTGTATGTGTAAATGTATGTGTGAATTTGTATGTGAATGTTGTCAGTTATCCAGGTCACAGTTATGGATTAATATTATTATTATAGATATGTGTGAATTTGTACCAATGCAGTATGAGATTTCAGTAGAGCTGCAGAGGGCTGAACTGCAACAGGTGGTACTAATTGTGCTCATTAGACTCGTGCTGGTTAGACTTGCTTTTAGTTGAGTTTGTAAGTTTGAAACCTAACTAACATGTTTTAGACTCACATAAGGAAAACGTCTCAGGTTACTTATGTAACCCTTGTTCCCCGAGAAGGGGAACAAGACACTGAGTCGGTGACAACACTATGGGAACGCCTCTGGGCGTGGCAGGGCTGAAATCATGAATGAAACTACTCCAATCCTATTGGCGTTGCTAGAACCTCGGGATCCCTTGGATTTCACCCTGCCGGCGTGTGACGGCGTAACTGGAGGCGTATATAAGCACGCCGGCACACCGGACACATTAGCTCTTTGCTATGAAGCAAGGCACTCCAGGCGGGGTGAGGTGTGGCGGACCGACGCAGTGTCTCGTTCCCCTTCTCGGGGAACAAGGGTTACATACGTAACCCAAGACGTTCCCCTTCGAGGGAACTCGAACTGCGTCGGTCACGACACTATGGGAACGAGATACCCACTATGCCACGCCTCCGCCTCCGACTGCCCCCCAGCGTGCAGTAACCCGTAGGCACGACTAAGAGGAGAGTGCACGGGTGCCGGGTGCAGAAGGAAGGTCCAGACTGTAAAACCGGATGAAAGTGTGAGGAGTGGCCCAGCCAGCTGCCTCCCCGGGGCAAACTCCAGGCATTGAGGAGAAACCTCACTCCTCAGAAAGGTGATAGAAAGGAGAAAGGGTCAGGTGCTTGGCCTCAGCCGACTCCAGGGGTTCGAAGGGGGCCTCAGCCAGTGCTTCGAGAACCACTGCCAGGTCCCAAGTGGGAAACCTGGAACGAGTCACGGGTCTCATCCTCCGGGCTCCACGGAGGAAGCGCACGACCAGTGGAAGCCTCCCCAGAGGCCCGTCCCTCAGAGGGGCGTGGAACGCTGCCATATACCTTGAGTGTGGATGGGGAAAGGCCAGCAGAGAAACGGTCCTGGAGGAACTCCAGTACCATAGTCACCGGGCAGGTAACTGGGTCCACCGCCCGTTCTCTACACATTCCACTTCAGGCTGTACATCCTTCTCTTGGACGGGGCTCTCACAGCGTCTCGACTGTTCCCGCCGTCAGGCCCGCCTCAAGGAACTGGGCCCTCTCAGGGGCCAGACCCACAGTCTCCACAGGGCGGGGCAAGGGTGAAAGACCTGGCCCTCCGCCTGAGACAGCAGGTCCCTCCTCAGGGGGACCTGCCATGGCGGGCCCTCGAGGAGCGATATTATGTCAGAGAACCGGGGAAAACGGGGCTACTAGCAGTAGGCTGACACCGTCCTGATGGACCCGCTCCAGAACCCCCGGGAGCAGAGCGACTGGGGGAAAGGCATACAGACGCAGCCTCGGCCACGTCTGCACCATTGCATCCAGCCCTAGTGGGGGTGGGGGCGAGATGGAGAACCACAGGGGACAGTGCGTAGTCTCTCGAGACACAAACAAGTCCACGTCTATGGGGCCGAACCTTTCGCATAATAACTCCACCACGTGGGGGTGGAGTCTCCATTCCCCGGGCCTCAGCCCCTGTCTCGACAACCGGTCTGCTCCCTGATTCTGGGTCCAAGAGAAATGATGATCCTGCCAGGAGCCTCTCGCAAAGCGGCCGTCCATGACCGTGCCCCACCCCTGTCGAAATAATTGTCCGGCGACATGACGCTCCCAACACGGGACCCTGGGACAGAAACCAAGGCTTCCTCCATACTGACAGGGAACGAAGGCACCTGCTCGTAACCCGTATCAGACAGAACGGATTTCCCCTCGGGGAGATTCCCTTGGATTTTAACCACCACTGCAGGGCTCTCATGTGCAGCAGGCCAGACGGGATTACGCTGGACGCTGCCGCCATGAGACCCAACACCCTCTTAAAGTGTTTCACAGTGATGGTGCAGCCTAGCTTCATTCTGGTCACTGAGGACAAAATGGACCCGACGTGTGCAGGCGACAGGTGGGCCCGCATTATCGTTGAGTCCCACACCACCCCTAGGAACGTAGTCCGTTGGGCGGGCGTCAGCACGCTCTTCTTCACGTTGAGCCGCAGCCCCAAACGCTGAAGGTGGGCGAGGACGACATCTCGATGCCGAACCACTAACTCCCGAGACTGAGCCAAGATGAGCCAGTCGTCGATGTAGTTCAGTATGCGGACGCCTTGGAGCCTCATCGGGGCCAGAGCTGCATCCATGCATTTGGTGAACGTATGGAGATGTGGAAATATGCGTCCTAATAATAATAATAATAATAATCCTCGGATTGGATGTGACTGACGATGGTGGGGATGGTGGGCATCCTGAACCTTCTCAGGACCTTTTCCCCCGACCCCGGCGAGACTGAAGAACGGAGAGCCGTTGTCTCGGGGGGCTGTGGGCGAGAACGCCGCCTCGAGTCCCGGGTGCGCTGAGGGGGACCCCGAGAAGCGACACTGTGCCTCTGGCTCTGGCGGTAAGAGCTGGACGACGGCTGGGACCGTCTCTCTGCAGCCGTCGCCATCCTGGACCCAGACCAGCACCGGAGATACTGCTGGAACGCCTCCCCTTGCGTCCTGGCATGCTGAAACCTGCTGACGACGGCGTCCACCACCTCGCCAAAGAGGCCAGAGGTCGCGACCGGTGCATCGAGCAGGAAGGTCTTCTCCCTCACCTGGATGCCCGATAGGTTGAGCCACTGGTGCCGCTCCGTGGCCACCAGCGCCGACATGGAGTGGCCAATGGCGCGGGCCGTCTCTTTTGTGACTCGGAGAGACAAATCCATAGCTCTGCGGAGCTCAGCGATGTCCTCCTCAGAGGGGCCCCCTCCTGAGTCCATGTCCTTCAGAAGGTCGGCCTGGTATGCCTGCAAAACCGCCATCGTGTGCAGGCTCGCACCAGCCAAGCCCGCCGCCATGTACGCCTTGCCCACCAGAGCAGATGTCACGCGTCATGGCTTGTAGGCTCTTTAAGGGACGACGCAAGACCGGGCGAGAGATAGCTGGCCAAAGCATCCTCAGCCCGGGGCATCGTCCCATAACCGAAACCCTTAACACCCGCAACGTCTGCGCGGCGCCACAGGAAGCGCTCATCCAGCTTACTGGCAGCCTGTGTGTCTGGCACAGCCTGCGGCCAATCAAGCTGGAGCTTGCCCAATGCCCGTGTCACCACCTGCAAGAGCTCGTCATAGCTTGGCGCTGACTGATGACGTTGCTCCGGCTCCCGGAAGTCTTCCTCCTCCATAATGCTGAGCACATCCAGCTCCTCAGAGCCGGACAGCTGCAGCCTCTCTGGGCTTACACCTCGAGCGGGAGAAGCCGAAAAGCGGGCTCCCGAACGGGGAAGAGGGGAGTCGGAGCCAGCAGACGAGGAACGGGAAAAAGCCTCGGCAGTCCCGATGCCTTCGGAGATGTCGCGCTGGGAGCCCCATGACCGAAGCCGCTGCGCTGCCTCAGCGACCGCCAGGCCCGAGCCACGGGGAGAACGCATCCGGCCGTCTCCGGGAAAGAGAGCCGCATGGGACCTCAGCACCCTCAGGGGCAGGGCCTCGCAATGACCGCAAGCAGCCCCCTCGAGAGCTGCCTGGGCATGCGGCATCCCCAGACAGGAAACACACAGGGCATGAGTTTCCCCAGCCATGATGTAGCGCGGGCATGGAAAGACACACTGTCTGAACTGCTCACCGGCCATCGCCTCTGCTTCTCCTTCCAGGTAACTAGATCTTCTTGTGGTTGCTTTCTTCTGAGTAGTCTCAAACATGCCAGAGTGCCTGCTGAATAGAAAAAAGCTAATGTGTCCGGTGTGCCGGCGTGCTGAAATACGCCTCCAGTTACGCCGTCACACGCTACCGTTCTAGCAACGGCAATAGGATTGGAGTAGTTTCATTCATGATTTCAGCCCTGCCACGCCCAGAGGTGTTCCCATAGTGTCGTCACCGACGCAGTTCGAGTTCCCTCGAAGGGGAACTGAAATTATACTGCGTTTAATGCTTGAGACCTGGCTAATCACTTTAGGAGCAGGTGCATGTTAAACTATTCAGCTGGTAATCTCTGCCTGGTGCACACGAGAGGTTTTTCAAATCTTAACCAATTTTACAAACATGGGATACCACAGTTAGAATTAACTGATTTTTAATCAGGACCACGCACTTGGCGTTTATATTAAATGATGGCGCATCTCACAGAAACTCGCATGATCAAATGTGCTTTCAAACATACACAAACATGGAGGCAGTCGTCATCACCTAGTTGAACTTTATAGCGCAAGCAAATACACAACAGGCTGGTGACGCTTCCCGGTCAGCTCCCTCTCATTGGCTGTTTGTTTGATTTTGAATTGGTGTCTTTAATATGTCTGTAAACCCCTCACACTACAGATCATTTGGGCCGATAATCAGTTCCAACAAGCCTCGGCTTGGAAACATCCTAGCAATTGTCAGGAGGGGCGAATCGGACCAAAAAATCAGCCCAATTACCTTATAGTGTGCGGCCAGCATTAGACCTGTCATGATAAGAAAATCACAGGTGTAACTTAGATCATTTAGATTTATCAGGAAGCCAACACCAGAGCCCTGGTTCAACTAAGGTCAATGTCATTTGCTAAGTTTCTATCCAAATATTTTATATATATATATATATATATACACGTGTTTCCATCCACTATTACGCGAATATTAGATAGACAGCTGCTGGTGCTAATTCCCTAGTCAGGTGCCATTAAACCATAGCAGAAG